CAAGACATTTGCAAAGCCGCAACCTGGGCCACGCCTAATACCTTCATCAGGCACTACGCCCTAGACGTCCGCAAAACCACCAGTGACAATCTGGGACGTCAGGTTTTATAATCGGCTAAGCAGTAAACACCTGACAGCACCCACCTCCAGGTAGGCTACTGCTCGCTAATCTCCCATTGGTGTGAAGCACAGAGACCACGAAGAAGATAAACAGGTTGCTTACCAGTAACTTGTGATCTTCGAGTGGTTATCTGTGCATTCACACCACCCGCCCTCCTGCCCCGCTGCTGTCTTCTTCTACCTGTTTTATTAGAGGTTGATACGCGGCGGTTTGTAGGAACTGGCGGGATGTCTGCACCCGCCCCTCTGGGCATGCGCACTGGGGCTCCTGCGCATGCCCAGAGGGACTGGGCACGAAAATCCTTTTTAAAGAGCTTGCTACAGCACCGGCAGATCCAGCGCAGGCGCACTAGATCCCATTGGTGTGAATGCACAGATGACCACTCGAAGATCACCAGTTACTGGTAAGCAACCTGTTTTTGCTTCTCTCGGTATGGTTTTGTTTAAAGCTTTCAAGGCAAACCACCAGCAAACTAACAGACATGACCTGGGCCATCCCAAGCAGCCTGCCAACCAGCTGACATCCATGGTCTTTGACTGGCGTCAGTCTTGGGTGTTCCCTGATGGAGGTGCTCTTCCAGGGTCAGGATTTTAGTGCCAGCAGTGGCTGATGTTCCTGGAGTCCGCGCCAGTGTGGCAGACCAGGCAGACCCCCTGCACATTAGCAGCATGGGGCTGGGGGGGGGACCCCATGTCTGGCGTCCCCAGGACAGCGACAGATGCAATACTGGGCCCACAGAAGTGGGCAGGGCCAGGTGGTCCCCTGGGCTCCCCCTAGAGGCCACCTTTCCCTGCCCGAGGAGCTGCTGGGGAGTCTGATCAGCAACAACGGAAGGAAACTCGGAAAGGGTGTGCTTCTGTCCCTCTTCGTCATGATTACATTCCTTTGCTGACAATCCAAACATGCTGTTTTCTGACTCCCCCAATCTGATCCGCCCAGTACATAAAAACAGCCCATGTGCACTCAGCACCTTTCACCTCAACAAGTAGACAGACTTAGATTTAGTCTCCTGAAATGAGAAGGAATAAACTGTAAATCTGTCAACCAGACATAAAAGTCTTCATTTCCTCCTTTTTGGCTTTTTAAATACTGTGTAGCTCCGAACCATCTGTTGTATCAAAGTACAAACAGCAATGAACATATGGCTTTTCCTTCTCAGGCAGCTGCAGTGTAGTTAAAGTTATAATAAGAGCTTTTGGGGGAGATACATTTACATTAAAAATCTGGCTAGTTAAAACATCTGTGCAGGGCTTTTATAGTTTAAGGGCATTCAAATCTAGTACGTGCATTTGTCATTTGTATCACTTTCTACTCAAAACGTTATGTTATGGCTTCAGGAACAACCTGCAAGTAGATGTGGATGCTTTCACAGCTCAAGTTTTCCTTCCTCCAAAAGGCAGCCGTCTCACATGGCAGCTCCTGGAAAGCCACACCATGGCAGCTCCTGACTCTGTGATCGACTTGAATGACCCCAAAGACAGACAGGGCATATTCCCCACTGAGGTTCACAGAGGCGTACAGGCTGAGCCCACTGCCGCTGCATCTTTTGCTTGGAAAGAAACTGCATCAAACTAGGGAAGCCACACTTGGGTATCCACGAACAATTATGCTCTGCAAAGGGAGAAGGGCTGGCAGCGTTTCCCATGTTACCCATCACACCTCCTCTTGATGAAAATCAAAGCGTACCTTTATCAGGGTGATTCAGAATCATGATTCGTCTGTGAGCAGTTCTTATCTTGGCCTTGTCAGCAGATGGACTGTAAAAAATAAATGGAGTGCTTATCATAAATAATGACTCTCGCATGCGGTAAATTAGCTGTTTGCATCTGAAAAGTATATTTTAAACAATCTAGGTATCTTTGCCATCTGGTGGGCAAACCATGCCACTGCACACCTGAAGGACTAATCGCCTAGTTCTGTGTTTCTGGGGACTGGAGCGGTCAAAACACAGGTGCTTGATCACGTGATGGGAAGCAGCTGGAAAAGAAGGGTCTGGGACTCCACACCCACTCAGACCTGTGACAGCAGCACTTTCCGGCCCCTCGCACGCTCTCGCTCTCTCGCGTGCTCTCTGCGGGCCGACGTGATGTGCCCTGCAGGCTACCTGAAGTGCTCTGTAGCTGTCGTCTGCAAGGCCTCCCCACACATCACTGAGCAGCATCCAGAGCTAAAACGGCACATCTCAAAAGACAGGACCGCAGCACCGTTCCAAGAGCGGCAGTGGAGGGAACCCACAGCTAGATTGTCGAGGACTAGGAACACCACACACAGCAATGTGGTTCTCCACAAAGTAAATCACTCCTTTTAACCCTGTTGACATCACTTCCTCCTTAAATCCATATTTCCTGCAGAATTTAAGATGCTTTGGTTAAGAGCAACATGGTGGCTAATATGAATGAAAGGCAGGGAGGGCAATTGTCTGTAGGCCAGGAGCAGACAACAGTAGCATTCATCGCTCTTAGGCCTGCCGGTTTCCAAAATCACCACATTCAAAATCGTCTGGGGCCCTGGGCAGGGTTGCCAACTCCCGGCTGGGAAATTCCTGGAGATTGGGGGGAAGGGCTTGGAGAGGCAGGGATTGGGGAGAGGAGGAAACCTCAGCGTGGCAGGATGCCATGGTACCTCGTTGGCCATGGGAAAAACAGTGATGCTGTGTATGTGTCTGTGTGTGACCAAGGGGATGCTTTGCTGCACAGATGTGTAACTGTTCTCTAAGACACCTCCCTGTCCCTGGGAAGAACGAACACTGACCTTGGAGGCTGGTCTCTGCTTGCGCCGCTAACATAGATAACCTGGCGGGTGCCTCACAGGTGGGGGTGGAGGGTAGAAGAGCGTGAAAGCTAGGCGGGCTGAATGAATGGACTGATTGGATGGGACACTGGGGGGGGGGGAGCTGTATATCTGTATCTCTTAGGGCCCTGGAGCCAAATCTTCAGTTCTGACACAAAGAAGTCTTAGCTTGAATCATCTTTACTACTCAATAAACATATCACTACTGAGAGAGTCTTGTTGAGAGTTCCTTTGTCCAAGAGTCTGACAACAGCCCCCCTCTAAAGCAGCCATTTCCTCCTCAGCGACTGAGCTGTGTCTGAGTCTGGAGGTCAGCTGGAATGCCAAGAGGTCTCCGGGCCCCACCTGGAGGCTGGCAAGCCCAGGCCTGGAGCCGGACGTTTGCCATTCTGTTTCCAGAAAAGGAAGGAGCACAGACTTTCAACTCTCCACGTTCTGTGTGAGATTCCACACAGAATTCAACCTGCAGGATGAGCAGCAGAAGGGCAACAGCGGAGTGCGCAGCTCTGAAGACGTGAGAGTTTGTTCCTGACCCTCTTGGTTTTTCCTTCCCACCCCAATCCCGTTTCCCTTTTTGTATTGCTCCTAGAAGAGCAGGCTATAAATGTAAATAGCAACCAAATTCCACCCCCCCAGAACAGCGAAGTGTAGGGTGACAGTAAAAGAGTGGGGTGATTCTGCCCTAATATTTTTTTAACGTGAATTGCAGAGCACTCACCTGATGCCTAAAATAAGACTTGCTTCTCGCCGATTCATTTTCTGTTCAAACCCTCCTTTGTAGTAGGAGGAGAGACTCTATGTGGGAGAGACAGGAGGAAATCACTAGACGTGTGTACAAGACGCAATAACCCCCCCCCCCCACATGGTCCCAGCTCAGGTGGCACACTCATTTGGAAGGTGTGAGATGGAGGCCAGAGAGGAGGAGGAGGAGGAGGAGGAGCAGGAGCAGGAGGAAGAAGAAGAGATTGGATTTATAACTTGCCCTTCACTCAGAGTTTCAGAGCGGCTTACAAACAACTTTCCCTTCTCCTCCCTTCCCCTCCCCACAACAGACACCCTGTGAGGTAGGCGAGGCTGAGAGAGCTCTTGAGAGAAACGGCTCTTTTTCAAGAACAGCTCTTATCAGAACTACGCCTTGCCCAAGGTCAGCCAGCCAGGTGCAAGTGGAGGAGTGGAGAATCAAACCTGGTTCTCCCAGATCAGAGTCCGCGCACTTAACCACTACAGTACACCAAACCACACCCACAGGCACCAGCTGCCTATGCAGTCACAAGCCATCCCTGCATCCCGGCAGGTTCTTCTTTACCACCTGCAAGATTCAGATTGTTAGTTCCCTTGGAAGGATCTGGTCATCTCTCTTTTTGACTTAGGAAAGGCTGTAGAAGAAGAAGAAGAAGAGCTGGTTTTTATACCCCACTTTTCTCTACCTTAAGGAGTCCCAAAGCAGCTTACACTCGCTTTCCCTCCCTCTCCCCACAACAGGCGCCTTGTGAGGTAGGTGGGGGTGAGAGAGCTCTGAGAGAGAGAGAGAGAGAGAGAGAGAGAGAGAGAGAGAGAGAGAGAAGAGAGAGAGAGAGAGAGAGAGAGAGAGAGAATGGTGACTGGCCCAAGGTAGGTCGCCCGGCAGGCTTCATGGGGTGGGGGAGCAGGAAATCAAACCTGGCTCTCCAGATCAGAGTCCGCCACCCTTAACCACCGCACCATGCTGTAAAGAGCACTGCACAGAGGACACGGTTGGAAAAGGCGGCCATCAGTTGAGCATGCTGAAGTTCCATTTCCAGGAAGCGAAGCTTTGTGTTTTAGAAACTGAGGCCAATGGCAAACGTACAAGCCTGGAGGACGGGGAAAGCAGCACAAGGCCCATTTTATTTCTTGCACTGCGATCGTCATCAAGACAGAATGTTCATTCTTTTACACTGGTGTTGCTATTCCTAAATATGAATGATGGTATGAGAAACAGTTCTACAGGTTGAGGGCCTACAAGAAATCATCCGGGAAAGAAAATGACTAGGAAATTCTCCTTTCCCAACATGGTTTTAAGTTCATTGAGTCCTGGACTCCTGCCGCCTAGCAAAAGAGTAGCGGCTGTCAAGATGTAGAAAAACCTCCTCTACAAATACCCCTCGTGGATTTTTTTAAAGAGACAGATAAGGTAACCTCAAAAACCTGGGATAAACTTTGAAGAAACTTCAATCCAGAAATATCCCTTTGGTGTCTAATGTTTGGACACTCCAGAATCATACCAATCTTTAATATGTGGACATAAAAGAAGCCGATTTGATTTCGTAATATGATCAAAGGAAGAAGAATCTTTGTCTTTTAATAAAAATATTTCAGTGCTGGAGAAGATAAGAGCACCTTTTATCAATACTGCTCAAATCAGATTATATTTGACACAATCGTTGAAAGTAAAAAGAAGATGTCAGGCCTCTTAGCAGTTTTGTGAAATCATTCTTAACTCCCACTTTTAAAGGTAGGAGAGTGACACTGTTATTCAGACGGAGTAACTAACAAGTATGCGTGTGGATAAACAGACCGTGGGCTTACAGAAGCTGGTAAATAAGGAGCTTTGGGGAATCCTTTGAACGAGAGAGCCTCTGCCCTGCCAAGCTTAGCCAAAGAAAAGGAATTAAATTTGTAACCATAGTTCAGATTGTACTGATACCAGTAAGATTAAATACACTGAATCACTACTTAACAATATGGGGGGAGGGCCTGCGGGAATCCGACAGTGCTCTTCTCTGTCTTTGATCGATGCCATTGAAAAACTGCAATTATAATGCTTGATGAACAGCCTGGCCATTCAAGGCCCTTGAATTCATTTGTACCTTTAATATTTCTTTGGGGATCATTAACCAGTTCATCCAACCAAACAAGCGGCTTGGAACTTGATTAACATGGTCAAACTGATCAGAACGAAATATGGAAAGCATGCACTTGGTTCTATTGAGGTAGGGTTCAAAATGTACAATAGCAATAAGTTTATTATGTCAATATGTTATAAAATACCTACTTTTGTCTGGCAAATTGTGAAGAGGCTCACGGAATGGGACTTTCCTGCCTGCCCCTCCCACTGAGCCCTCCAGATTCCATTTTTGGGCCCCAAGGAATCTTCATGGATAGTGTGTGTGTGTGTGTGGGGGGGGGGTGTTACTGGGGAACACACACCTCTCCACTGAAGAAAAGGCACTTCCCTTAACAGAAGAATGATAGCAGGAAGCATGCTCCTGTTCTTGGATGCCAACTGACCGGGGGGGGGGGCATGAAGGGGGCAAAAAGCTGGGAAGAAGTTGCCAGCATCCATTAAGGGGGCAAAGCAGCTCTTCCGTCAGCCTCAGAGGCCTGCTGGGGTTCCCCTGGGTGGCCTGCATCATATGGAATACTATGCCATTCATAAAATGCATGCTTTTCAAAGTAGGCTTAAAATATATATATTATTTTTGAAATTTTATGTGCCAGCCTTACTGCCAAGCATGTCAGGACACGAGATGGATAACAGCAATCTGATATATATAAAAGCTCTAACGTACTGGCACTTTCCAGCTCTCCCATTGGCTGTGCTGTGCGCTCCATCAGCCATTGGACCATCAACCGCCACTCAAGAGTAGTCATGTGCCATTGGCTAGGTGCTGGGTCTGCTCCTCTCCCCTGCCTACTGCCAGCCTGGACACTCTTCCCTGACAGAATAAACTGCCAAAATGGCTGACTCTCCTGACGAAGACACTTCTCCTGCTTGGCTCCTGTGGGGCTAACTTTTCCCTCAGTGGCTGTTGCTAGGCAACCAAGTTTGGTTCTATCAGTAAAAAGGCAAAGGCAAGAGGCCCATTCCAGGCCTACTTTGGCCTTTGCAGGGAACTCATTGGGGCCAGTCCTGACTAGGGTTGCCAGCTCCAGGTTGGTAAATTCCTGGACATTTTGCGGTGGAGTCTACGGAAGCCAGAGTTTGGAGAGGGGCCTCAGTTGAAGAGAATGCCATAGAGTCTACCCTCCAAAGCAGTTATTTTCTTCTGGGGAACAACTGCTGCCAATCTCCAGGTGAGGGCTGGAGATGACCCAGAATTAAAACTGCTCTCCATATGGCAGAGATCAGTTCCCCTGGAGAAAATGGCTGCTCTGCAGGATGGACTCTGTGTCATATTACCCTGCTGAGATCACTTTGCTCCTGCTTGGGTCCCCACTGTGGAGAAAGACAGTACTTTTCCTAGGTAGAGGCTGTGTGTGCGGGGGAGATGGAAAGCTGAAGTTAGAGGGGCAAATAAAGGTAAGTTGATGGTTGGCTGGGAAGGAGATAGGGTTGCAAACTCTAGGTTAGGAAATTCCTGGAGATTTGAGGGGTGGAGACTGGAGAGGGTGGGGTAAGGAGAGGTGGGATCTCAGACAGGTACAATGCCAAAGACTTCACCCTCCAAATCTGCCAGTTCCTCCACAGAACCATTGTTGCCAATCTCCAGGTGAGGGCTGAAGATCACTCAGAATTACATCTGCTCTCCAGATGACAGAGATCAGTTCCTCTGGAGAAAATGGTGGACTCCGTGTCATTATACTCTGCTGAGGTCAGTTCCCTCCTGCTTGGGTCTCCACTGTGGAGAAAGACTGTACTTTTCCTAGGTAGAGGCTACAGGTGGTGGTGGGGGAGATAACGGTATGTTGATGGTTGGCTGGGAAGGAGATAGGGTTGCCAACTTCAGGTTGGGAATTTCCTGGAGATTTGAGGGGTGGAACCTGGAGAGGGTGGGGTTTGAGGAGGGGGTGGGTCCTCAGACAGGTACAATGTCATAGACTCCACCCTCCAAACCAGCCATTTCCTCCTGGGGAACCATTGCTGCCAATCTCCAGGTGAGAGCTGAAGATCACTCAGAATTACAACTGCTCTCCAGATGACAAAGATCAGTTCGCCTGGCGAAAACGGTGGACTCTGTGTCAGTATACCCTGCTAAGATGGCCCCCCATGACAGCTAGCATGATGTAGCACTTAGCACTTCGGAACAAGGTCTGCCATACCCAAGTTCTTCCTGTGGAAGTTGATTGGGTGATTTCAGACCACTCACAGACTTTCAGCCGAACCTACCTCACAGGGCTGTTGTGCAGATTGAAAAGGGGAGAAAAGAAATGTGAGCTGCTTTGGTCCCCATTGTGGAGAAAGACTGTACTTTTCCTAGGTAGAAGCTGCGGGGGGGGGGAGGTGGAAAGCTGAAGTCTGAGGGGCAGATAATGGTACATTGATGATTGGCTGGGAAGGAGATAGGGTTCTCACCTCCAGGTTGGGAAATTCCTGGAGATATTAGGGGTGAAGCCTGGAGAGGGTGACCTCAGACAGGTACAATGCCATAGATTCCACCTGCCAAACCAGCCATTTCCTCATGGGAAACCATTGTTCCCAAACTCCAAGGGCTGGAGATCACTCAGAATTACAACTTCTCTTCAGATGACAGAGATCAGTTCCCCTGGAGAAACTGGTGGACTCTGTGTCATTACACCCTGCTGAGGTCGCCACAGCAAATTGATGCTGAGTACCCAAAGCCAGGGGACCCACCCAGAGCCTCTTTCTAGAGCTTGTTGTATTTATTTCCACAACGGACCTTATTCCTAGTGTAAAAATAATTTGATAAAATAAAGAGTAAAAGAACTGGTACGAGACACTGAAAACTACTCTCGAACACCTCATGCCCCCAAGAGCAGGGCATGTCCCCCTTTACGCCAGGCTGAGGACACTTGAAAAAACAGGGGGGAGGTGGTTTTTGCCACATTACTCTGTTTCAGCAACAAGGAAGTCCTGTGGTAAGTATTGTGGCGTTAGCTGACATGCACCAGAACGCAGCTCAAATGGATACATGAACTGGTCCCCCTAGATGGATAGGTATTCCACCCTGCATACAGGGAGAAGAAAAAATTATTTTGCTTTTTTGAAAGAGACTTGAGGTCTCAACTTACAGCACTTGAAATTTTCCTTGCTGCTCCGGAGATTACTTGTTCCAGCGGTTTCCAGAACTGGAAGGCGTACCGACCTAGGAAATATTGAGAGAAAGGGACTGCAGTCAGTACATCTGCTACGAAAGCATGCAGCAACAGCCCCTTCGCAAGAAAATCTAATTTGTGATCTTATCTGCATGGAAGTCCAAACTGCTGCCCTCCCCGAATCGGCAGGTTTGGAGTCCTGCCCAGCCCAGCCCAGTGCAGGAATGAGCTGGCAGGCACTGAGCATGCTCGCTATTTGCAGCATGACCGGGGGGGGGGGACTGCTTGTGAGTCGCAACACTCCTCGGCTGGGGCGCCAAGCCCTCTCTCGCCTTTCGCTTTGATAAATCCGCCTTCTGGATTTCAGGAACTGCTACAACAGAGGTTTAGGTTTTTTACTGCAAGGATAGTAAACAGAACCTTTCAAATTCTATTTGATGGAGGCTTCTCCAAAACTATGACATTTATCGGGACCTCACTTTTTTATTCCATTCCCAACTGAACAAGAGTAGGACCAGGGCTCCAGTCCCCACACCGCCATGAAGCCCGATACAGGCCAGTCCCGTGCTCACATCCCAATCTACCTCACAGGGCTGCTGTGTGGATAAAATGGAGGAGGGAAGGATCAGGTATGCTCCTCTGAGCTTGGCCAGAATAAAAATGTACTAGATAGACCAGCAGTCCTCACTCCGTGGCTCACAGAGTGCCAACATCCAAAAGAGCCACATGACTTCTGTACGCCCCGTGCATCACCCCGCTAAACATGCACAGACAGTATAACATAACTATTATGCTATTAAAGTATGTAACCTCTGCACAGGTAGGGTTTCCTCTCCCCACCATGGCTTGATGTCAAGCTTGGGCCTCACTTGTCACAGAATGCTGTCCAGCCAAACTCCTGATCTGCTGCGTGAGGGGTTAACTGCTTTCTTAGACATGCTTCTTTCACTGTTTTATCGTCCATGCTGTTTATCTTCTCTGCCAGGACGGAGGAGGGGGTAGTGGGTGCTGGTGTGAATGCCTGCGTGAGCTTGCGTAGTACGTATGGGACCATGGGAAGCGCATGATCTCAGCTTCTCGCTTGACCTTGGAATGTAACTGTTAGTTTGCAGGTGTTGGGCCAGCCTGGGGGGTAGGCCTAGAGCTTTGACAAGCTAAGTGAGAACATTGATTGGGTGATTGGCACAGGGGGCTATCCTGCTTTTTGTATAGGGGCGGACCAGGCAGCCAGTGGCCAGTTCTGACACAGAATCTGTCTATGCCTGAATCTCTTTACCTCCAAATGAACAAATCTTGCTGCCACAAGAGTGCCATGAGAGTGGTTGAGTCCAGGACTCGACACCTGAGCCCTTGTGTCTGTCGGGTGAGGGGAAGGGCCTTCTCTCCCTCTCCTCGGCAGGAGGCACAGCAGGTCAGGGCAGAGAGAGGGAGACCGCCCAGAGGAGAGCCAGCTGGCCAGGGAGAAAGGGGAGTAAAGCCTCCACCAGCCACCACGGCCAGCTTGGGCGGCTGCTGTGGCGGTTTCCCTCTTCCTCCTCTGCAGCCAGATGGCTCTCCTCCTGGCAGCTGCCCCAGTGCAGAGAAGGGGTGTGTGTGGCAGGGAGGACAGGGACCCTTGACTCCCAGCCCTGTAATGAGGCCCACAGCTCAGGGACACACGCAGCTTATCTGTCCTCCAGTCCCTCCAGCAGCAGCTCTCAGTATACTTGGTCGCCGCCGCCTTATGCCAAGGGACCCTTGACTCCCAGCCCTGTAATGAGGCCCACAGCTCAGGGACACACGCAGCTTATCTGTCCTCCAGTCCCTCCAGCAGCAGCTCTCAGTATACTTGGTCGCCGCCGCCTTATGCCAACACCCCCGCCCAAAACACAGCTCCATTTGAGTGTCCAACCAGTGCAATCTCTCTAAGCAACCACAATACGCGCTTGATAGACTGAATGCTACAAGTACATGACTATTACAGAACGGCACCTGCTGCGGTTCATGCGCACAGGGCCAAAGTGGCACCTCAATTACTTTTTATGGCTTGATGGATATAATCCGGAGAAGGAGAGGATGCAGGCTTGAATCCTCAGAGCTCTTCTGGGACTCCCTGACTCTTCAGCTGTGGCAGCCATGAGCCTCGAAGTCCACGATCTAGTGTGCCTGGAACTTGATTACAGGGTCCCAGAAATAAACAGTGCTGGATTTTCTATCCTAGCATTACGGTTTTCAAATCAGGAGTCAAGCAAAGGATTGGCAGTTGCCAGAATATGAATTCTGCAACATGCAGACCTTTGTTCACTTTTAACCTTGTCCCTCTACTTTCCAGTGGTTAAGAAATGTGCAAAGAACCTTAAGCATACCAAACTATAGGACAGCTTTTGTACTAGCACACTGTCATGCTTTGCCATCAGCAATCCATGAGGGCTGCCACAAGCAAACCCCTCCAAATGTGGTGCTTGTTGTTGCAGAGGTGAGAAAGACTGTAGCTCACAGGGTGGTGGTTCCCAGCTACAATAAAGGAGTGACAAATGAACAGAGATGTAAAATATCTGGAAATTTTGAAGCCATGGGGGGGGGAATCACCCCCCCCCCGAAAAAAAAAATGGAAAATTAGGGGGAAATTGAAATATATACAATAAATATATGCCAAAAAAAAAAAATTCCCAACTTCAAGTATAGGCTAATAGGGTCTGACCTTGTTAAGATTGAGGGGGAAACAGATCTTGGGGTGGTAGCTGAGAGCTAAATGAAAATGTCAACCCAAACTCTGTCTTAGGAGCTATAAGGAAAGGGACTGATAATAAAATCGCCAATATTGTGCTGCCCCTGTATAAGCCTCATTTGGAGCACTGTGTGCAGTTCTGGTCACCATATCTGCAAAAGGACATTGCAGAGCTGGGAAAAGTCCAGAGGAGGGCAACTGAGACGATTAGGGGGTTGGAGCCCCTTCCCTAGGATGAAACACTGAAGACTCCGGGACTTATCAGTTTAGAAAAGAGACGACTAAGGGGGGACATGAGAGAGGTTTATAAAATTATGCATGGGACAGAGAGAGTTGACAAAGAGAAAATTTTCCCTTCTCCCAAAATACTAGAACTTGAGGGCATCCAATGAAGCTGATGGGCAGTAGGTTCAGGATGGACAAAAGGAATACTACTTTACACAGAGAGTGATTCATATGTGGAATCCACTGCCAGAGGATGTAGTGATGGCCACAGGAATAAACGCTTTAAAAGGCAACTAGATAGATTCATGGAGGAGAGGTCTATCAGTGGCTACTAGCCAGGGTGACTGAGGGGAACCTCCACATTCAGAGGCACTAAACCTCTGAATCTCAGAGCCAGGAGGCAGCATCAGGGGAAGGCCTCGGCCTCTGTGCCCTGTTGCTGGCCCTCCAGAGGAACTGGCCGGCCACTGTGTGAGACGGGACGCTGGACTGGAGGGACCCTCCCTGGTCTGACCCAGCAGGGCTCTTCTTATGTACTTATGTTCTTATCAAGCCTACGTATCTTTTAATGTTTTAGCAATATAAGATGCATTATTTATAACTTGGCAGATACAACTGTACTATTTGACATGTAAAGTTATAAATATCTTCATTTTCCATAGGAAAAATTGCAGCCATTTACTTGGGAAAGAACTACAAACTCCTGCCCCTTATCCTACCAGTGTTAATTTGGAGCTTTTAAGGAAGCAAAATCACGGAGCCTTTTGCACCTGTTAGAGAAGACAGGACTGCCTTGCTCCTAACTTAAACATTTTTAATGCAACTAGTGGTAAATTTGAAACAATATCAAATAACATTCCATTCAGCTTCATTTTGTTTTTCTTTCTAAATGACCATGCTTTCCCCCCCCCAGGATAACAATTTGATGAAATCATCCTCTTGAGGTTTGTAGAGAGCAGTGTGCCCGCCTAATTC